AGAGGCAAAACGGTTCACTCAGAACGTGCAAGGAATTTAAAGCTGTGGCTCTACATTAAATGTTTGTGCAGGCCTTGCATTCGACTCCAAGAATATCCAGGTTGGTTTTCCTACCAAAAAATAATTTTAAGCACTAACCACTATGTGCCACTGATGCCCTGGAAGGTGGGCCACGCTTACCCAGGGCTTTCCACAGCCCAGCTTGAGAATGGTGCTGAGAGTGACGGGAAGCCATGGAGGGTCTCCACAGAGGAAGAGTATTAGGGAGACTCCTCTGGCTCCCAAGAGCAGCAAACTGGAAACAGAGAGCCAGGGTAGTGGGCTTTTAGGGTCCTTTTGGACAAAGGCTTCGCTGTGGGGATGGACGGGAAGGAGTCCTCTGTCTTGGCCAGGGTGACTGGGTGGACGGCAGGTGTGCAGGGCAGTGAGATGACTCAGGTTCCAGCCTACTCCTTACTAGCTAAGAAGTTGCACACCCGTTTCCTAGTCTGTAAATGGGGACTGTCTTACCTCATGAGGTGGTTGTACAACCTTAAATCCTCAGGGCAAGCTGTGTCCATTGCCTGCAATGCCCTCCCTCCTGCAGCCTCCACAAGCTGCTCATCCCAAGGGAATTCCCAAATCAAGCAGGACCCCGATCATAGCCACACCTGATGAGACCACAAATCCTACTTCCTGCCCCTCCTGCCCTGTCATTAGTGCCCACTCATCTATCAAACCCACATCAGCCCAACCACTGTCATTCATATTACTCATCTTCAGGGCTCACAGCCCAGGAGTGGAATGGAAAATATTTTGTTCCCATTTTGCAGCTGGGGAGGCTGAAGCTAGGAAAGGCCCGAGGTCACTGTGTGATCATTGGAATCCAGGTTCCTGGGTCTGATACTTCTTTGGGAGCTGTTGAATGAATGAATGCATGAATGAGGAACGCGTCCCCCATCAGCCCCTTTCTTTGGGGGAGGGGTAGACCTCATTCTCCAGCTGTTCAGGTTGGAATGCTGCCTGGAGATTCATTTTAATTATTTTGTGTGTGTGTGTGAGGAAGATCAGCCCTGAGCTAACATCCAATGCCAATCCTCCTCTTTTTTTGCTGAGAATGATTGGCCCTGGGCTAACATCCGTGCCCATCTTCCTCTACTTTATATGGGACGCCGCCACAGCATGGCTTGACAAGTGGTGCGTCAGTGCGCACCCGGGATCCGAACCTGCAAACCCTGGGCCACCGAAGCAGAACGTGTGCACTCAACCGCTGCGCCACTGGGCCAGCCCCTGGAGATTCATTTTAAAATTCCACACATATTTATCAGGCAAAGTGGGGCACAATACAGTGATTAAGAGCAGGGACTGTGACCCAGATGGCTTGGGTTCAGACCTGGGCTCTGTCTTCTCCTAGCTGTGTGACCTTGAGCTAGCTACTCAACCTCTCTGAGCCTCAGTTTCCCCATCTGTAGGATGGGAGGCAATAATAGAATAGTAGAAAAAATGGCAGGTACCTCATAAGGTAGACTGTTTGAAAAGCACTCTGAAGTCACACTGAGCACTGAAGAACTGTTTATTAAATAATCAGACCCTCTATGCTTATAAGTGTTATATAAATAAACCTATACTTGTAAGTGTTAAATAAACAAACCTATGATGTACTAGGCCCTGGGGATACACGGAGAAAAAGACACCTACAGTTACTGAGGGCTCAGTTATTATCTCATTCAGTTTTCACCCTAGCCCTATGGCATAGAGGCTCTCATCATCCCCTTTTTATAGTAGCAGCATGAAGCTCAGAGAGGTTAAGTTACTTGCCCGAAGCCACACAGCTGCCCTTGAACTCAGAGTCTGTCTCAAGAAACAAACTCTTAACTCCAACACTAGTGCACCTCTTGGACCCCTCAAGGGGCTTCCACTCTGATGGGAAAACGGACATTAGACAATGTGCACAAAGAATGAAATGCATATCGAGATGACTGCCAAGAAGGAATCTGGTGAAGGGCGGAGACAGGACATAGAGAACATAAACGCCAACTGGCTGGGCTGCGGGAAGGGTTAAGAAGCAGGCAGTGTCTGAAGTGTGAACAGAGAGCACCTTTCCTAGGTGAGACTTCCTGGTGGTTGCGAGGGACTCTCAGGAATGAAGGATTCGAGGCTTAGCGCCCGGCCTACACGCTGTCTAACTCGAGGGAGCGCTGTTTAGTGTGGTGCCCCATGGAGCTCTCTCTGGCCGGCAGACATTTAGCTGGGAGGAGAGAGCACTCCTCCTGGAGTGGGGGCATTTGTGTACAGAGACACACTGACCACACAGGGATTGCCATATAGTATCGTCAGCCTCGTGTGTGTGTGTGTGTGCACGCGTGCTCTCATAAGTTTCTTTTTAAAATTATTTTGCCTGGAATTCAGGGTCCAAGCACTTTTGTCCACCAATGTGGGGGTAACAGGGGGTGCCTGAGCCCTGGGTAAGGTAGCGTTCCACTCACTCAGGTGCCCTGCCCTGGGGCCCACACACTAGTGTGAGGAAGAGAGAGAGCATGAGCCTGGTACACAGTAGGCACTCAATAACGTTTTGTTGACTTAATGAATGAGGAACCTTTCTCCTCTCAGCCACTCTCTCTGTGAGGGAGGGGTAAACCTCACTCTCCAACTCTCCAGTTTGGAATGTTGCCTGGGGATAGAAAACAAAACAAAACAAAACAAAACATTTTAGTTAGAGGAGAAGAAGGACACTGAATCCTTATTTCTCAGCAATTTTTACAGATAGAAAGTTACTTCCTTGGCTTAGGGAACCCCAAAGGATATTATTAGGATTGGGTTAAGCCATGGCCTAGAAAACGATAAAGCATTTGGGATGGGAAAAATCCATTAAAAAAAATCAAACCAAGGAATTATCCCTGAAATTAGCTGTGTGTGGGGAAGTTTCTGGAACAGTCATGTCTATACTGCTAGGACTGGGCTCTGGGGTCCTTGGTGGTGTCCCTGCTATCCCAAGGGGAGGTCCTGAGAATTAAACCCTGGAACAAGGTGCAACTCCGGAGAATTTCCTTTAATCCTCACTGCCACACTAAGTGGGAAGGAGGGCTCGCTCCCATTTTACAGATGCAGAAGGTGGGTTCAGAAAGGTGAAGAGATGGAATCCGGGCAGTCCTCCTGCCTCGTGGTGGCATCATACCCCCCAGGGCCTGAGACTCCTCTGAGAGTGGAAAGCTGGACCACAAGTTTCCTAAGGCCTCTCTGAGCCTAAGGATGGGCTGTTCAGACCCTGCACTGTGGCCAGCCCAGGGGCACAGTGAAGGAGTGGGGTGGAGGGCTGCGAGTGGCCAGGCTCCATACACCTCAAGCCCTGGCTTTTTTCTTTAGAGAGAGGACAAAGGACAACCAGGAACAGGCCCAGCAATGTCTGGATGGGCACAGAAGTGCAGAGACTCTGAGATGGGTGGGAGGAGGGAGTGGCAGCGAGAGTAGGGGAGAGGTGGGCTCAGAGCGGGAGGGGGAAGAAACAGACAGCTTTGGGGGTGGAGGGCGAGCAGGCGGGGGACTGGCAGTTGGAGACGCACTCTAGGACCAGCTCCTGGTGGCATCCTCCAAGGGGGCCCACACCAGCCTCCTTTTCCACCTTATCTCCTCTGCCCCACCGCCACTCCCACAGGCCAAGGCCAAGCCCCACCTGGACCCCTCCTACTCCCCTGCCTCTGCCCTTTCTGGGAGCCTGGTCTGCCCAACCTTGGAGGGTTCCACGGGGGCCTCCTGGCCTTGAATCCAACTTTGGACTCTCCCAGTCTTGGGGATAACATCGTGGGGATCTTGAGGACTCAGATTCCTTTGGCCCCCCTGCCTGGAATGTTTCCCATTCCCTCAGGGCTTCTCCCCTTTCTCCCCCCCCTGCATTTTGTCTGGCTTCATGGGAGGACAAAGCCTGTACAAGACAAGGGCCAGATACCTGGAGATGGAGGTACCTTGCCTGGTATGTGAGGGGTACTCTTGGGCTTTCCCTCTCCCCCAGACAGGCCCCCCAGAATCACAAAGCATGGATAGCTAGGGTCACATGCCGTCAGGCCATGTTTTTAGAGCCCTGTTTCTGCTCTCTGCAGGTCCTAGTCTGTTTATACCAAACACAGTAGTGGGGGATGGGTGCAGGGGGCTAGGGCTGCCTGTGTACAGTGACAACAGAGTTCTGAGCATGGGGAAGGAAGCCGTCCCCCAGACAGACTGTATTTGTCCATAAACACAGTTTGCCTCATGCCCCAAGGCAGAGGAGAGACAAAGAAACCAGCCCACTGGAGCTCCTCTCCTTCTATTGCCCTGGGAGTGGGCACTCCCAGGCACACCCTCCTCCTCCCCACAGGTGGGGTCTCCCTCCCAGTGCACCCTCTGAGTTGTTTCCACAGCAAGCTGGACTATGTTCTGTAAACTCCAGTCCCCTAGCCTGGCAGCCCCCAGTGAAAGGACAGGTGTCCTGCCATCACTGCACCTGTGTGTGTGTGCGTGTGTGTGTGCGTGTGTGTGTGTGTGTGTGCGTGTGTGTGCGCGCGCGCAGTAGGGGAGAGGAGGGAGGCCAGTGGGGAGCAAAGGCCCTTTGTAGGTCCATGTGATGCTGTGTGTCTGCCTGTCCTGTCCCCTGGAGTGGACAGGCTCCTCTCAGGGGGTCATGTGAGGGGTCCAGGCCCATGGTTTCCAGGACTCTGCACAGCTTGCGGATCTGGAGCCCATCTTGAAGACTGAGTGTGCCCCCTCATTGTCCCTGGGCCTCTTGGGGAAGGCGGGGGAGTGCACATTCATCCTCATGACTTTGTTTTGCTGCATCACCATCTCCCCTTCAAGTTAATGATTGGTGGGGAGCCCTGGGGACGTCATTTCTTGAGCCCCCCCAGCTTGGGCTGCCTCATGGGTCTCGACTTTCCTAAAGCCCTGGGTGCTCAGCTAGTGAGAGGCCCTGGGCCTTGCTCCACCCTTTATGCATATGTTTCTGTGTATAAAGGCTGAGGCCCCAGGTGGACGGCCCAGTGGGTCCAGCCCAACCCAGTGCAGAGCTCTCTGTCACACAGCTGGCCCTGCTCCCTTTCCAAGATGCTGTTTTGGCACAACCAGCCGGAGCACCTGTGGCCCAGTCCTGGGGAACTGTACCCCGGACCTCCAAGCAGCCTGCTCAGGTAAGGGCCAGATCCCTTTCCCCCAGCCCCCACGCAGGCCCTGGTCTGAGTTGAGGTGGACATGGTAGGGCCATCTGTTTCAAGTGGGTGGGCTTCGTGCTCTGGGTGCCTTTTGGGGTGGGGAAGTGGTCAAATGTACCTGGAGTTTAGGGGGTCCCAGGATGTCTCAAACACCCTGACCACCTACCCCTCAGGACACTTTTTTGGGGCATTTACTGGGTGTCAGGCAAGCCCTGAGGCTGCACGCAGGTAATTGATGGCAGATGTTTGCAGATGTTTAGCAGTATCTGGGATTTGCATCTTAGGGGAGGTCTCCCCGAGGCCAGAGGAGCTGAATGGGGGCCCCTTAGGCCCTGGCTGCTGCTGGGGTTCCTGCCACAGGAAACTGTAGGCTCCCTGGAGGGAGGAGCTGGCAGAGAGTCAAAGCCTCTCAAGGGATGGGGTGGACAGGGCAGAAAGCTGGCGGTGCCCTCCTCTCCCTGGCAGGGAGTCCCTGCCCTTGCCCTACCTGAAGCAGGAAGAGCTGCCCAACATCCCCGGCACGGAGCCTCCCTGCCCTGCATTCCAATATGTGCTCTGTGCAGCCACCTCGCCGGCCATGAAGCAGCAAGAGGAGACCCTCACCTACCTGAACCAGGGTTCGCTGGGCCTGGGGAAGGAAAGGGGCTTGGGAGGCTGGGCCCAGGGTGGGCTGGGGGTGGCAAGCACCATCTCTGCCCCTCAGAGTGAGGCTCACACACCCTCTTCATCTCTCCCTAGGCCAGTCCTATGAGGTGCGGATGCTCTGGAACCCCAAGCTGGGTGATACCACCCAGTGCCCCCAGGTGCTGAAGGTAGGTGCATCCCCTCCCAGAACCGGCAAGGGCTGGGTATAACTGTCCCTCTGGGAGGGAAGCCAATGTCATCACTGTGATGTCATTGTCAAGTAGAACCCTCTTAAGTCCACTTTTTTTGGTGTGTGTGTGAGGAAGACCAGCCCTGAGCTAACATCTGATGCCAATCTTCCTCTTTTTGCTGAGGAAGATTGGCCCTGGGCTAGCATCCATGCCCATCCTCCTCTACTTTATATGGGACGCCGCCACAGCATGGCTTGACAAGTGATGCCTCGGTGTGCACCCGGGATCCGAACCTGCAAACCCCTGGCCGCCGAAGCGGAGCGTGCGCGCTTAACTGCTGCGCCACCGGGCTGGCCCCTCAAGTCCGCTTGTTAATTTGACCTTCACAACAGCTCAGCAGGGCGCAGGAATTGTTGAGGAAACAGGCACAGAGAGGTTAAGTCTTTTCTCAAGGACACAGAGCCAGTAAGTAGCAGAACCAGGATTTAGAAGTACATTTACATAGCATTATTCAACACATGATTTCTTCTCTCAAAAAAATTGTTTATTTAGCTCCCATTCTTTGCCAGAAACTATTCTATGGGCTAGAGATTCAGCAGTAAAGAAATAGGTAGTTCCCTCCCTTAGGGGGCTTGCGTTCTACTGAGTGAGATGAACATGTAATTACACAAATTACATGCAATTACAAATTGATTTACAGATTGCAAATTGATAAGTGCTGCAAAGAAAAGACATGGGTAGAGTGACTAAGAGTGGGAAGGGATTAACTCCCCCATTTTACAGATGAGGAAACTGAGGCTCAGGGTCTCTAGGTTAGTTCCCTAGTTTCACAGCTTGTGAGTGGCAGGTGGGCATCTGGACATGGATCTAGTGATTCTAAGTCCTTATGCCCCCTGGGGGTGGGAAGCAAGGTGGGGGAGAGGGTGGGGTTGGCCTACCCTAGGTATGGAAATCGGTTCCCAAATGCTCGGGCACCCTCTGACCTGTGACCCGTGCCCTCCTGTACCTGCAGAGCGTGGTGCGTGTGGTGTTCCACGACCGGCGCCTGCAGTACACGGAGCAGCAGCAACTGGCAGGGTGGAGATGGAGCCGGCCTGGGGACCGCATCCTGGACATTGGTGAGTGGGGAGGGACCAGGGACCCTTTAGGGCCACCTTCTGGCTTGGAAGCCCTTGTGGGTGAGGAGGGCTGAGACTTGCTCCCTGTCTGCCACCCTGTGCCTGCAGATGTGCCCCTGTCCATGGGGGTGATAGAACCCCAAGTCCTGCCCTCACAGCTCAACATGGTGGAGTTTCATTGGGACCCAACCAAGAGGACCTCCCTCTTCCTACAGGTGAGTCTGAAGCTGGGACTGGGAGGAGGCTGGAGGTCAGATGGGGGTGGCAGCAGCCTCGGTGGGAAAGGAAGGTGAGTGTGGGTGGGGGTGAGCGGACAATAAGAATGTATCACTACCAGAAAGCACCTTCAGGAAAAAAATATGGATAAATGTTTATCGAATCTCACCATAGAGCAAGACTTGTGAAACACTAAGCAGTGGAAGAAACTGCCAAACGCAGGACAGAACATGGTTTCATAAAAAGTAATGGTCTGCGATACGTAGGCAAAATTAAAAGGAGACATCAAATGGGAAAAATAATTGCCATATATGACATATAGTGTGTTATATCCTAAATATATAGAAAGTTCTTACATATCAATAAGAAAAAATACATGAAACCTCAATAGAAAAGTGGGAAAAGGATATGAGACAATTTATAAAGAAGGATACAAATTGTCAGTAAATGTAGACAGTTCAACCTCATAAAATGCTAATTAAAATTACATACATAGACTTTAAAGACTTTTAAAAGACTTTTAAAAAACTATTAATGGTAAGGTTTGGAGAAACAGACACCCTCAGATCCTGAGAATGCAAATTGGTGCACCCATTCTGTAGGTAGGGTGGCACATGGGAAAAACATTAAATTAATGTCATACTCTTTTACCCAGTAGTTCCACTTTAAGAAATTTATCCTATAGCAGTGTTTAATACGTACACATAGATATATTTACCAGCTATTCACGGCAGCACTGTTTTTGAAGGATTTTAAACAACCAAAATGCCCATCGGAAGAGGATTGACTTTGAAATGTTTTAGTACAGGCTTACGATGGAAATTGTGTAGCCATTAAAATGATTCCTCTGAGGGGCCTGCCTGGCGGCGCAAGTGGTTGAGTGGGCGCGCTCCGCTGCGGCGGCCCAGGGTTCGCCAGTTTGGATCCCAGGCGCGCACCCACGCACCACTTGTTGGGCCATGCTGTGGCGGCATCCCATATAAAGTAGAGGAAGATGCGCACCGATGTTAGCTCAGGGCCAGTCTTCTTCAGCAAAAAAGAAGAGGATTGGCATCGGATGTTAGCTGAGGGCTGGTCTTCCTCACAAACAAAACAAAACAAAATGATTCCTCTGAGAAATATTTACTGACAAGAGAACTGCTTTCCCATAAACAAAGAAAAGGCAGAAGACAAACTTGTATTTAAAGTTTGATTTCTATTTTGTAAAAATAAAAAAGTGTGTGTATACACAAGTCTTTTTTTTTTTTTTTTTCCCTTGCCCAGAGAAAAGATAGAAAGAGACCATACTGGAACGTTAACAGTGCGATCGCTGAGAAGTAGAGAGATGGGAGAGGCCTATATTCGTCTTCATATTTTTTTGACGATCTCCACATTTTCTATGTTGAATAGATTTCCCTTTATAATCAAACAATATTGCCAAAAGTCACCTGAAAGTCCCTTTTATGAGTGCCTGCCATGGTGTAAGCAGCTGGACTAGGAGTCAGGCCAATGTGGCACAATTTCAGTTCCACCACTTCCTAGCGTGGACCTTGCCCAGGTCACATAATCTCTGTGAGCCTTAGTTTCCCCACCTATAAAGTTAGCCCCTTGAACTGTTCTTCACAGGATTGTGGGAGGGCTGTAGTGGGCAGTGGGTGTGAACAGAGGGGAAGACCCTACCTGCCCTTGGAATCCTGGGGCCAGGCAGAACACAGGCTGCAGGCTGTGTGAGGTGGGGCCAGGAAAGTTTCCTGGGGTAGACTGCCAGATTTAGCAAATAAAATACAGGACACTCAGTTAAATTTGAATTATATATATATACATATATATATATATATATGTATATATATATGTATTTCACTATAAGTATGTCCCATGCAATACTTGGGACACACTTACACTAAAAAATTATTTATCTGAAATTCAAATTTAACTGAGCACACTGTATTTTGACTGGCAGTCCTACGCCAGAAGGGGACGTCTTGGCGCAGATGTGCGCAGGGAGAGCTTTCCAGGTAGAGGATTCTCAGGAGAACTCTGCAGGTGTGTTGGGGGTCGTGATCAGGCTGGCTAGGTGGGTCAGTGGGCTCGTTGATGGGTAAGAGAGTGCAGCCATGCAGAAAGGCTTGACTTGGCTCTTTAAGGTGCTCCCACGCCAGGGTCAGGAACTTTGCTTCTCATCCCATAACCATGGGGAGCCATGGAAGGATTTCCAACAAGGGAAAGAACCTAACAAAGTGACGCTTAAAAATAGACACTGGTTGGGGATGGAAAGTTGCTGTGGTAAGGGCTGACAGGTGACAGGCAGGTAAGAGGTTTTAGGTGGAATCTCTTGAATGTGAGTGGGACCTGGAGTCACCCTGCTTTCTCTTTGCTTCTTCACCTCAGGTTCACTGCATCAGCACTGAGTTCACACCTCGGAAAAAGGGTGGAGAGAAAGGCGTTCCCTTCCGCCTCCAGATCGACACTTTCAAGCCCAGTGACAAGGAGCTTCCGCCCGAGCACCTGCATTCGGCTGGCTGCCTCATCAAGGTGTTCAAGGTACAGGCAGAACCAGGGCCCCTTTCACCTCCCTCTGAGGGCTGTCACCTTGCCTTGCTGTCTGTGTGGATTCTGGCCCTGCTTTGCTGTGGACGCTCAGCCTGCGATCCTCATCTCTGGGACTGTTTCCTTCTCTGTACATGGAGGGATGGGACTTGATCTCCTTCTTAGAGTCCCTTCTGTAACGAGAAGTGGGCAGATAGAGGGGGCCTTTCCTTGTTTCCTTGTCACCCTCCTGTAGCCCAAAGGAGCTGACCGGAAACTGAAAACTGACTGGGAGAAGATTGAGAAACAGCCTCTGCATGAGAGACACAAGTATCAGGTCGCCTGTGAGAGCACGGTCTTCGTGGAGGTGTGTGTGTTGGGGCGGTGGAGGCAGGAGGGGAGGTTTAGAGAAAAGATCCTCACCGTACACATGGGGAAATTGAGGCCTCAAGGGCTGTGACTGCTCCAGGAACATCACAGCCCCACAGTGATTCCACTGGTTTTCTACAAGGATAAACTACACTGTCGTTCAAGACTTCCAGGAGCTGATACTTTCCAGGCTGCCTCTCCTGTGCCCTGCTATCGCTGCCACCTCACTTCTGCTCCCTCTGCCTGGAGCACCTCCCTTCCTGCTGCTGCTTCTGGCTAGGTCTTCCAGGAAGCCTTCCCCAACTATTCCAGACAGATCTGCAGGCTAGTTTACTTTCTTCCTTTGTGTGGAAACTTTGTCTGTGTGTCAGGGACTCCTTCTAGGGCAGGGACCAAGTCTGGCCCAAGGCAGGTCTCTTGTCAGCTCTTAAGATACAGATGGAGGGGGGTGAGCCAACAGCCACCATTGCACTCGGACTGTCCAGGCCAACCTTGCTGTTTGTTTACCCACAGTGTCCACCGTGGCCAGAGCCCAGTGCAGAGCCCCACTCGCCTCTCAGCCCTCAGGCTCTGACATCCCCCTACTCCTGTAAGCTCCTGTCCCCAGAGAGGTGAGGTGGGATAAGCACCTCCCATCAGCTCTTCTGGGTGAGAGTGAAGGGAAGAGCTCCTCAGCCCTGGCATCGGGGGAGGGACAGGGTTGAGCGTGTGGCTGAGGCGGGTGAAGAGGCTCAGCCAGGTGCCTTCTGGGGAATATGTGGGATGCACCCAGCAAGCTCCGCATCCCAGGGCAGGCCTGGGGAATAGTGGTGAGGCGGGAGACTGGCTGCACTGCTCCGCAGAGCCCCTGACTCTCTACACCCTCCCAGACTCTGCTCCTCACCACCATTCGCCTTGGACACCTTGGGGGGCAGCCCAGCTGAAGTGAGTCTTCCCTTTCCAACCCTCTCAACCCACTATCCCAAAGCCTTCTCAGCGGCTTCATCTCGCTCTCCAGAATAGGGTGGCCCTGCCCCCTGGTGGACAGATGCAGTATGGCCACAAATCGCAAAACTTCCTGATAGGATTGGGCACTTCCCGTGGGCAGGATGAGCCTCTCCTCTCAGACTTGGGGTCCCGAGGGCAGGGGCTGTGTTTCCCCTCCCCTTTGTTTTCAGTCCATGGGTCCATGGTATTACCTGGATCGCCTTTTTTATGCCTCAGGATCTGAACCCTGGAGCCTCCATCCTAGAGACGCAGCAGTGGTTGCATCGACACCGGTTCTCCAGCTATTGCCGGATGCTGGCCAATTTCACTGGTGAGGCTCAGGTCTGGCAGGGACAAAACCTGTAGGGGACTGAGGGCAGGACAGTCAGACAGGAAGCCTGTCTCTGTCCTGGCTTGCTGTGTGCCCTTCAACTAACTTTTATTTAGGGCTGAAAGTTGCCAGGCACTATGCTTGCTAGGCTCTCTTTTCATGTATTGTCCTATATAATTTATACACTATCCCTTGAGGACAGGGCTCAGAAAGGTTAAATAACTTGCCCAAGGATACAAAGCTAGCAAGCAGCAGAGCTGGGATTTGAATCTAAGTCTGACTCCCATGTCTGGACATACTAGGGCTATTCGTAGACTAATATTGGACGGTGTTCCTTGCCACCCTTGATCCCAGGCCTCTTTCCCTAATCTGGCCCTGTCTGACCCTGCAGGCACTGATCTGCTGAAGCTTACCCGCCAGGACCTTATCCAGATCTGCGGGGCTGCCGATGGGATCCGCCTTTTCAATACTCTTAGAGACAGGTGCTGGGCACTGCCAACTAGGGTCCCCTTCCCACTGTAGTGGCACTTACCAACTCAGCTAGCAGTGGTGTTTCATAGAATGTTCAAGCTGGAAGGCACCTAAAAGACCACTTAGTTCCACTGCCTCTTTTTACAGAGGAAGAAACTCAGGCCCAAGAAGGACAGTGACCTGCCTGAGGTCAGAGCAAGGCTGGCAGGGCTGGGCTAAAAAGTTAGGCTCCTGTGACCTCTTCTTTCTGTGGCCATCCCATCTGCATGACTTAATTTCTGGGGACAGAGATCGATTTTCCTCATCTTCTCTCCCCCTAGGTCCAACTTGCATTAAATGTCTAAGAAATGCTTGGTGACCTCTCTCCCTAGAGACTTGGGAGGAGGCGGGGACTCTCCCAGGTGGCTTATGGTGGCTATAAGTGGGAGCCGTTAGTTCAGGTATGAAGGGCTGATACATAGACTGTTTTCCTGGCCCAGGCCCATCCGTCATCGGCTGACTTTATATGTGGCTCAGGAGGCCTCTAGGCAAGAGAACGAGGTTCCTGAGAACCCCGACTCAGGTGAGGTTCTAGCCTCTCTCTCCAGAAAACAAGAAATTCAGGTGTGGCTGCATGAAACCTCTTCTGGCCTCGGGAGAGGATGATGCTCCACCATTCCTCGGACCCGGGATGCCCTCCTTGGCATTCCCCTGTCTTCCATAACCAGATTAGTCCTCTCCTTCCAGGATGTCTCCCTGGGTTTACTCCACCATGTTCTACTCCCTAACCCCATCTGATTTTGTCATTCTATTAGTATGAGGGATCAGAACATTATAATTGTTATTGTATTTGGGTTTCAGTCATTCATATATAGGTGTCCCATCTCCTCTTTAAACTGGGGGCTCCCCTCAGTGTGAGGTCTCCCCAAAGGTGAAGACTAAGTGGATTTATAAGCTTTTCCTTCTTTACTCCTTCTCCTCCCACCCCTGCCCCTCCCCATGAGGCTGTCACTTTGCCCCCTCCTTCCTCCTGGTATCTGGGGCTCCCTCCCCCACTGACCTCTGCCTCTCTGCTGCCCACACCCCCAGGCTTTTACCAAGAAATCTCTCTGAATGAACTCAGTGCTGTGGAGCTGATGGGGAAACTGGCGGAGCGCTTGGCTCTCCCAGCCAATCAGATCCACCGCCTTTTCCACCAGGGCCCTGGGGGCATCCTCATTCTCCTCAGTGACCAGGTAAATGGGCAGCGGTGCCCTGCAAGGCCCCACAAAGGCCTTGATCACTCATCCACCTCAGGCCCAGTTTCCCTCTCCCTGCCCTAGCTTATTCTGTTTGGCTCTAAGAACAGAACTGCCTTAGTGACCCCTTCTCCCTTGCAGGTGGTTCAGAATCTTAAGGATGAATCATACTTTGTGGCTGTGGTGAAGAAAGGTAGGGGTTTTAGAAGAACTGTGTTTGGCAGGACCTAGAAAGGGTAAGATTGTATTTATATCGTCTCAATGAGATTAAAAGGTTTCTTGAAGGTGCGTGTATGTGTTGGGGGGAAGGGGGGAGCAGTGTCCCAATCAACTGGTAAACATTTGCTGAAGGCCAGCTTTGTTTGTGTGAAAGGGACAGAGACTCAGATAGCTAAAAGATCGCTATTTATTGCTCAGGAAAAACGTGACTGAGTAAATGCATTTTCATGAGAGAAAAAATGCCGCAGTTTCAATGTCAGGCAGTTTATTAGAGGGTAAGGTAAGCCGCCCCCACCCCCACCCCCACCCCCCAAATCATACAGGGCAGAAGGGCAGGTGCGTGCTGGACGTTCCCTGGCACAGAGCACCTCCGACTTGTGGGTCTGGTTATTCAGATACCTGCTAAGCTATAGAGCACACAGGGAGGTTTCCTAAAGAGGTTTATTCCAGGTGGGCTTGGAAGAACACTTGGGTGTGGCAGATGTAGTGCAGGCAGCTTGGAGGTTTGGGAGCAGCCCAGTAGTGGTCGTTGGTGCCTCATCCCAATGGTGCCCTTTTTACTGCTTTCAGTGCAGAATCCAGATGGCTACTACCTGGTTCTGACCTAGGCCCAGGGGCACCCTGCTGCAAGGAGACCAGTGCCAGCCTGGTTCTCTGGAGCCCTGTGTTCACCAGAAGCCTTGTTAAAATCCTCGGCTGCTTCACTGGGCTCCAGCTGAAGAGCCCAACTGTCATGTGTCCTACCCGTGGGGAGGAGGCAAGCAGCCCCCAGGCTCACCTTTCTTTCTGCTCAGCAGCAACAGTTGTTGGAACCCAGGACACAGCCCAAGCTGAGCTGAGATGGCCAAAGCTGTGAGGAAAAAAGCCTGGTGATATGGATAAGGAGCTTCTGCCCCAACAGTGCTGCTGAAAACTGAGTGTTTTAATTCGTATTTAAAATTTTATTCAGCCCTTCCTGTTTCTAAATTAAAAGTTATTTTTAAAAGACATATATTTAACATGTCGTTCAATTTTCTTGGTGTTATGGTCCTCCTGGGGAAACGTCTTCCGCTTAAACTGTAGAGTAGGGCAAGGGATGGAGTCTGGGACAGAGAAATAAATAAATCTGGCTGGATTTTTTTTTCAATTAGTTTGGGCAAAAACGAATCACTAAAGCCTTCAAAAGACCATTCAACTATCAATCACTGCACTTATTTAAAACTTCAGCTCTAGAGATTTGGGAAATACTATAGCTATTCTTGAACCCTGAGGCTATGGGGCTTTATTTAAAATATGTAGTTGAATTTATTAATCTTTTAATTTTTAGGTCTTAAATCTTTCCCTACATTAAGGTCATAAATATAATTTCCTATGCATATTTTTCAAAGTTTAAATTTTAATTTTGCATTTCACTTTTAGGTCTGTAATCCACCTGAAACTGATTTTTTTTGTGCATCTCTTTTTCCATGTAGAAAACCAATTTTATATTAAATCAAGTGCTTTTAAAAAAGGTAAGTGATATTGGGTCATATCTTATTGTGCTCATTTCTTTTCATCCCCTTCCTTCAAAATTTTATTATGAAAAATTTCAAACATGTTGAAAAGGGAAAACCCATACAAATGGAGTGGAAGACAGGCCAAGGTGGCCTCTTTAAACTATCTGCTTAATTTCTTATTAATCATTTACCTCAGTTATCATTTACTGATCATCTTTGACTGATCATCTTTGGTCTTAAAACCAGGTGGCAGGGCCAGCCTGGTGGCGCAAGCAATTAAGTGCACGCTCCGCTGCGGCTGCCCGGGGTTCGCCGGTTCGGATCCCAGGCACGCACCCATGCACCGCTTGTTAAGCCATGCTGTGGTGGTGTCCCATATAAAGTAGAGGTAGATGGGCACGAATGTTAGCCCAGGGCCAGTCTTCCTCAGCAAAAAAAAGGAGGATTGGCATTGGATGTTAGCTCAGGACTGGTCTTCCTCACACACACAAAAAAACAGGTGGCCTCTGGCTAGGGAGGGTAGGGAGGAGGAAGGCTCTAAACACTTACATGAATTAATTAACAATGAATGGGGGAAAGGGAAGTTCGCTTATCCTTTGAAGTTCAAAGACCTAGAAACTGCCTCCCTCATGTCCAAGGCTGACTCAATATGGACAACTGCACTATTGGAAGGGACTATGTTGGCCCCAGATGCCCAGTCCAGACCAGGCCTTGATCTCATGCAGGATCAGTGGATTTCAAGTGGGGCCTGCGATTCCACAGGGCTCTCCAGGGTGTTTCATGGCAGGGTAGACACCTGAGATTTCAATTTAGGGTGCTGATTTGGCTCCACTGCTCATCTCCACCAAAAGGATAGGGGCCCTGTTGCATTAACCTTTGTGTATCTCTCAGTCTAGAGCTTCTAGCACAGACTACATACTGAAATACTTGTTGAAAGGAAGGGAATAAAAGCCGGTAACATGTGTTTACCATGTGCATTATTATCTCTTTTAATCTCCACAACTCTGAAGTAGGTACTGTTATGCCCACCTTACCAAAGAATAACGGAGACAGAAGGGTTAACTGGCTGAGATCAGAAGGGTGGGCAGAAGTCAGGCAATCTGAGTTCGGAGCCTGTGTGGTTAATCATCACACCACTCCATCCTCTCTCTCTCCCTAGTCCACATAAGGGCAATGCTCTGCACAGGGAAGGGACTCAGGTTGAACTGTCAGTATCAAATTAGTTAAGGCAAAGGTGTTTAGAAACTGATTTATGCCTTCCATTTCTTTTAAGAGACAAGTGGAGTTCAGGGTATTAAATAAAGGTTAATAAAGAGCTATTAAATAGAGGCTATTAAATAATTAATAAATAGAGAGTACTAATTAAAGGATATTTAAAAAATATAAAGATGCCAAAAAGAAGCCCCGTCATTCAGCCTCAGGAGCCTTTGTAGTTCTAGGGTTCAAAGAAGTTAAGAATCACAGCTCCAAGTAAGGCTATTTCTGCAGCAAAACGAAAAGTCTTCACAGCTTATTTCCTTTAATTACATCATAAAACAAATTAGAACATACAGGAAACAATAATAGTTACATAACAATTTACTTTATATATTTATATATAAAAAACATATTTTTTTAGTCCAAAGATTTTAAAGCAAAAGGAATCCTCTACTGCCACCTTGGATTTTATTTATTTTAAATAACCCTCCCTCCCCCCATCCTCAAGCGCCAAAAGTATTGAGTGGAAACACAGTCACTTGGACAGCTAATGGAACCTGGTGTTAAGCCACCATGTAGGGAACTGTGTCAGTCCCAGCGACTGGCTAAGCCTTGGGGTAGGCCTGGTGGGGAAACAAGTAAGCAGCAGCTCCCACACACTGAAGCACTCCAGGGTAGGCCGAATGGCTGGGGAAGGCTTAGGCCAGACAGCGATGTCTGGGATCAGACCCTGCCAGTCAACCGTTCTCTGCATTTTATCCTCTAAAGGGAGTGGGGTGGGGTGGTGCAGAGATGAAACAGCCAGGTTGAAGATAAACATTTCTCTCACAGCACCCCTCACCCACCCATCTCTGTCCCCAAGCAGGGTCTAACAGGCAAGAGTAGTCCTCACAGTCCTCAGAGCCCTGCACAGACCACATTTGTCAGGTCTGTGCCCTCAGGGTCACTGGAAGGTGGGCAAAGGTGAGGAGAGCAGTTGGGAAATGCGAGGCAGGTTACTTGGAAACAATTTCCAGGAGGAAAAAGGAGGTGGACAGAGTGGGAGGCATGTGAAGGTTGAGTCACACAAATGGAATGGAGAAAGGCAAAATTAAGAAGGCCTTTCTTCCCATACACTAACCCTTCGGACTGGGCAGTTACAGATCCTCAGGGGCCAGCTCTGAGAGCTGCAGCACGGTGAGAAAAGACACAAGTAGCTTTCGATGAGCCCCTCCCATGGATGCTGTATATGTTAGAAGTTAATGTGTAATTTGGGGGTAGGTTGAGGAGGGAAGTAAGAGAAGAAATCTCAGGCTCACCTCTTCCTGCAATTATTAGAAATTAGTCATCAGAGAAGCACAGATCAATTATTCTTAAGGGAAGGAAAAAAGCAATGTAAACCTAGGCAAGTAGCAGCAAAGGTTTCACTTATTACAGATCTATTATATAGCACTAGGAAAGAAAATCATTCACGTCTGCAGGGGGAAAAAAGTAAAGTAATTAATCAAACCATGCCAGTTAGAGACTCCTTTTCAAGTTAGAATTTTCTAAGACTTTAGGTTCTCATTCACTAGTGCCATAAAAAAGAGAAACAAACTAGAATAATGACTTCAGGGGCTGAGAAGGGTTAGGCTAGGATAAGAAACACACGTGTGTGTGAGCAGCAGTGTGATACAGATTTGAATTAAGAAGTAGTAAGAGACAAAGACAAGCGAAACTTAGTGGGGCCAAGTTTCCTTCTTCAACTTTAATAAAAAAAGACATCACTTCAAAGATTTCCCTGGGTTCTTCTGCAGTATAGACACCTCTCTTTTCCCATCTCTTCTCGGGGTGGGGATTCTCATTTACTGCCTACCTGCTCTTGCCCCAGTGAAAACCATGCCCAGAATCAGCTGGGAAGCAATGGTGGTTCTTTCGGTGGTACCAATCCCCATCAGATGACTCCGGTTAGGTGTGTGGAAAGTAGAAGCCCTCCTGGCCACTAAGAAGTGCATGGAGTTTGTTAGATGAACAGGAAAGTCAATCGACCACATGTGAGGCAGCTGTTGCGACATATTCACGACAGATGCTTGTACCTGAAGCAAATTACCCCAGTTCCAAAACTGATTTTCTCCTTCGCTTTGAATCTTATCTACCATTTCCCCACCCTAATTCTTCAAAACAAGACACTGCAAAACAGAGAAAATAGAAAGGGCCAACTGATACAGTTTTGGTTGCTCATGGTTCTTTTTCCTAAAACAAACCACCCTGGCTGAGGAAGCATTGAGACGCAATACCTGTGAACCAAACTCTACCAAGGGCTTACTCAAAAAACACATGAGGCAGAGATGGAAGAAGTACATTATGGAATTTCTCTTAAGATTCCACATGTGAGCTTGTCCAACAAATTTTTTTCTGCAGAAAAGTGTAACTTTCTTGGGCTCCAAAGATTCACTCAGACTCAGTTGAGAGGTTCTTACTGACTTTCCTAGGAATCAAAGGCTTCAGAGATGCAGAATTAATGTTCCTAAGGATAACAATAGACAAAATAGGTAGACTTGCCTTGGCGGGAGGAGGGGAGCTGCAGAAGCCCTTCATGCAGAAAACTCGCCTCAAATGGTAGTTTCTGGCAGGTGGAAAGTTTGTCCCAAGTGAGAGGACAAGGTTAGAGCAGCATGTTCTTTGCTGGAGAACAAGATGTTAAGTTAGGGCATCTGGATATAGCAAATACAGCCAAATTTTATTCCCAAATTACCTGGGTTAATTATACCCTATTGACATGACCTTATACAGTTTTCTGTATCTCCCAATCTTACAATTACAATTAGAATCTTAAAATTTATGACAGAAATAAAGGTGAGAAGAGGCTGAGACTCCATATTTCCCCTCACCCTTCTAGTGCTTTAGAGTTCTTTGGTCCAAGATCATTGTAAGGGGGAGGGTTCTGCCTCAAGACCTCCAATCAAACATCCTATGCCTCTTCTCAAACAAGACTCAGCTGATTCACACTGCCTGGGTTTCAGGTAGTTAAACATCCTAAAACTGTGGGCAGATAGAGAAGGCAATCTTCTTATAAAATGTTCCAGAAGCTCAAAGCATACCACTGAAAGAGTCTGTCAGCAGCACGCACAATGGGGATAGAAACCTAACCTTAAATCATGCACACAAGGAGGGAAAAGGCAGAATAGACCAATTTCCTTTAATCTCCTCCTCTCTCACTGGGACAACTGTCATGAGCAGTCTGTGACTTTCAGCACAGTAATTAAATGGCCAAGGGTCAACTGTGATCTGCACGTGTTCCTCCACTC